CCTCCAAAAGAAAACAGACCTAAAGGAAATCCCCAGGTCGTTTAACAGTTTATTCTGATGCTAAATGTTAAAGTTATGTTTAATTTCTTGCTGAAATCTGTTTAATCACCGGGGCCATTTGTTCTTGCTCTGTGACCAGAACTCTCCCGGTGCTCCACGTTGAGCTGGAGCCTCTCCTCACTATTCTTTGTGCTCAGCTGAGCACATCCAGCCCTGAAAACACCTCAGGAGCGGCTTTTCCCCTCCTAAAGCTGCTGAAAGTGTTTTCACACCCGGTCCAGAGCTCTCTGCAAGGAAAATGTTCATCTTGAAACAACACAGGCTGCAGGGACACGAATTTCTTGCTGCCGGGTTTTGCTTCTGAATTTTTTGAATTCTGTGGAACAGCAGATTTCAGGTGGAAAATGTTCACCAGATTTTCTCTTTCTTTGTTGTTTTCTTTTCTTTTCTTTTTCATTTTTCAATGGATCACTTTTAAAATTTTTAATGGATCACTATTTTAATATTCGCTGGTGTTTTTATCAACAGCATTCAAGGCATTCACCATTTACATTCACTACTCGCAGCTGCATTGGCTGAAAACATCTCGTGACTTTTTAAAGCAAAATGCACAAAATGCAGGTTCAGGTTGGATTTTAGGAAAAAATTCCATGGAAAGAGTGGTGAGGCTTGGAATGAGCTGCACAGGGAGGCTTGGGGTCACTGTCGCTGTCCCTGGGAGTGTCCCAGACGTGTCTGGATGTGGCCCTTGGGGACAGGGGTTGGTGCTGCTGGGTGACCTTAAAGGTTTCTGCTCACCTCGATAATTCTGGGATGTTCATTCTTTCTGCATTGAATGATAATCAATATTTTATTCTATTTTATTTTATAATTTAATTTTATATTTAATTTTAGATTTTATTTCCCTTTATTTTATTCTATTTTATTTCATTTCTTTTTTCTATTTCATTTCATTTCATTATGTATATTATATTATATTATATTACATTACATTACATTACATTATATTATGTTATGTTATGTTATATTATATTATATTATATTATATTATATTATATATTTTATTTTTATTTTATTTCCTTCTATTCTATTCTATTCTATTTCATTTAATTTTATTCCATTTTATTTAGTATTTAATTCTATTTAATTCCATTTTGGTTTTTTATTCCATTTTATTTCATTATATTTTTACTTGATATTATATTTTATTATATTTTGTTTAATTTCATATTATATTATATTTGATTTTATATTTTATTTCCTCTTCTTTTATTCTATTTTGTTTTCAAATTTCATTTGAAGACAAAAATATTATATAATAAAAAATATTATGTCATTATATTTTTATGTGATATTATATTTTATTATATTTTGTTTTCAAATTTCATTTTATTTCGTTATATTTTTATTTGATATTATATTTTATTATATTTTGTTTAATTTCATTTTATATTATATTTGATTTGATATTTTATTTCCTTTTCTTTTATTCTATTTCATTCTATTTTACTTTATTTCATTTTATAGTTTATATTTTTTATTTTTTATTTTTTATTTTTTATTTTATATTTTATATATTTTATATTTAATATTTTTTATTTTATACTTTATTTTTATATATTTTATATTTAATATTTTGTATTTTATACTTTATTTTATTCTTTTTTTATTCTATTTTTATTTTATTTCATTTTTTATTTCATATTTTATTTTATATTTTATTTTATTTTTATTTAATTTCATTTCATTTTATTTCATATTTTATTTTATATTATTTTATTTTCCTTTTTTTTCTATTTTTCATCTTAAAATTTTACTTTATATCTAATTTTTAAATTTCATTTTATATTTCATTTTATAATCGTATTTTTAAATTTCATTTTATTTTATTCTATTTTACATTTTATTTAATTTAATTTTATTCAATTTTATCGTATTATTTCATTTCATTCTATTCCATTCCACTGCAGCCCGCCGCATGTCCGTGTCCAAGGCGGATTTTCGGGGGCAGCTCCGGCAGTGAAATTCCGTGCTGGAATCTCGGGGTTCCACGGCCGCCAGACGGGGGTGTCAGCGCGGGGAACCCCCCGGCCCTGCTGCACAGCGAGTCCCTTTTCCTGCGGGAAACACCGGCGTTAATCATCAGCCTTAATTATTAGCCTTAATTATTAGCGTTAATTATTAGCGTTAATCATGTGAAAGTCCATGTATTTTCTGATTGGCTTTTCGCAACTATTCAAATGAATGTTATATGTGTTGTGTTAGAAAGTAATGCTGCATTCATTCTCTGAAGTAGTGTGGTAAATATAATTTTAGGTTATAAAAATGGTTCAAATAGAAACTGTGCTAAGATACTTTTTTTTAAAGAAAGGACTCCCAGTGAGACAGCAGCCACAGGACACCTGAATCTTTCAGAGAAAGAGAATTTATTGCCCCATTATCAGAAGAAATGAAATTCTTCCTTCCTGAAGACACCATCAGGATTCAGAGGAAGGGGCTGACACTGCCCAGACAGAATCCTGTGTTTGAATGGAATTTATGCATCATGGATGAGGTGTATGAATATGCAACAGGTTATTGTTTTTAAGGGTTAATCCTCTGTTAACGTGGGGCCTTTTTCCAGCTCGTGCTGCCCAGAAAAAGTACCCAGACATCCAAAACTCTTTGTTTTTATTGTCTCATATCATCCTAATTCAATTTGTCCGAATTGTTATTACTCTAATTGTGTTACTATTTTTATAACCACTTTATTACTATTAAACTTTTACAATTTTCAAAACAAGTGATTGGCGTTTTTCACAATCATTAGCGTTAATCACCCTCACTTACACTCAAACCGGCCCCAAACAATGCAGGAAATTCCATTTTTTCCTCTCTCTCGCCACCTCTTCCAGTCAAAAGCGCCTTCACGTTCCCTTCCCAGGAAAAAAGAAAAGATGAACAATTAAATCTGCACATGAGGCAGATTCAGCTTTTAATATTTATTTTTTCTCACGTCTGTGGTTGAATTAATGCTGAAAACTTTGAAGATCTTAGGGCAGACAGGTCCTTTGGCCCTGGAGCCCTGCAGGGCACGATCTCAGCTCCAATTAATTACACAAAATACAATTAATGACATAAAATGCAATTAATAACGCCTTTTCCCCTTCAAATGTGCCACCTGAAGTGGTTATTGTGAATATTTCCCGGGGGTTTTCCTGCCAGGCTGCAGGACAAGGATTTCTTGCTGCCAGGCTTTGCTTCTGGATTTTCTGAGTTCTGTGGAACAGCAGATTTCAGGTGGGAATTCCTCAGGTGGGTTTCACCAGGGAGCTGCAGAAAATCCAGAGATGCTCCTCAGAGGGGAAAGTGTCACCAGCCCTGTCAGGAAAAACCTCTGGAAAAAAAAATTGTTAAAATTGGCTTTATTTTGGCTGGATTTAGGATTAAACAGCTGGGGCTTGCTCGGAGAAGTTATTTTCTTTTAAGAGACCATTTGTCTGCATGTGAGAGGATGAAGATTTTATGTCACTTAGCACAAGTGAGCACAAAACCATCTTTTATTTAGCTTATCCCTCAGAAAAATACTTAAATTACTCCAAATCTATCAGAGAGGCTGAAGAAATTTGGTGTGGGATGCTTGGAGATGCACAAATGTCACAATAACTTCAGAAAAAGTAACTGCATAAAGTAACTTCATAAAGTATCTTCATAAACAGTAACTTCATAAAAAACTTCATGAACAATAACTTCATAAAAATAACTTCTTGAAAATAACTTAATAAAAAAGTTCAAAAAACCCAGTAACTTAATAAAAAGCAATAACTTCATAAAACTCTGTGACCTTTGAAGCTTGGGCCTTCCCCTGGAAGGTGGTGCTAAGTATATATAAAAATAAACTGAAGGGTAATATTACAGAAGATATTTTATATAGATACAGGCACATTATATTAAAAATATAATAAAAATATTTGTCCAGGTCTCGTAGGTCAGACTAACCAGCCCAGCCCACCAAGGCTGGGTCAGCTGGTCCCTAAGGCAGATAAGTGAATTATAACACACAGTGGCAATTTTCAGCTGACTTGTAAGCCTTTGAGTGAGGAATTTTTATATTCATGTGGCATTTTTATATAAATATTTAATATTTATGTTATAGACCACCCAACCTGGCCTTGAACACTTCCAGGCATGGGACATGGAGCTCATGTCTTTCTCTCTCTAGCAATAATAAAGCATTCTATGCAATAATTTATATATAAAACTACAAATGCATACATTGTATTATTATATACAGCATATTTTATATGTGTTGTATATACTGCATGTTATTTATATTCCCACATATACACACAGTGCATTGTTACATAAAGCACCTTTTTATATACTATATATTAGATATATACCACATAGACATACAGTATAGCATACACAGAATATTTTTTTATATATTACATGAAATACAGCAAAATGTTATAAAGACAGTACATACAGTATCAGATATATTTATATATATGGTATATTATATGGTAAATTATATGGTAAATAATATTTGGTGTATTATAACAATATATGGTATTATAATATATATGGTAATATATTTTAATATATATAGTAATATAATTATAATATAAATGGTATATTATAATAATATATGGTAAAATTATATATAGTATATTATATGGTAAATAATATGGCGTATTATGTGGTCAATTTTCAGGTATAATACGTTATATATAGGGCGCAGGTGTATTACATACACAATATATACGAAATATAAAGGACGGATAGTAACTATAGTATATTTTATACACATGTATTTTATATATAGTTTATTTTGTGGGTGGGAGCTCAGCCGCTCCCTCACGGCGCTGCCCTCGCCCAACATGGCGGACGCGGCATCACGCCCCACCTGTTGCCGCAGCGGCGGCGGCTTCCGATTGGCTGACACGGCCGAGGGTGGGCGCGGCGGCGGCTTCTGATTGGCTGCTGCGGGGCGGGGGCGAAGGAAACAAGATGGCGGGCGGGGGGTGGGAGAAGCCGCCTTCGCGACGTCGCGGCTGCCGCCTCCGCTCGCCTCCGGCCATGGAGGAGCCGCCGCTCCAGCAGCCGCTGCCGCCCGGGGAAGACGAGGAGGAAGGGGAGGAGGAGGAGGAGGAAGAGGAAGAGGAGGCGGACGCGGAGTGGAGCTTCGTTGACCGCGAGATGGAGGCGGTGGCGCTCCGCGATTTGCCCACCGCCACCATCGCCTGCAACCTGGACCCGCGCGTCTTCCAGGACGGCCCGTGCCGGGTGAGGCGGGCCGGGAGCCGGGAGGGGGCGCGGGGCCGGGGCTGTGCGGGTCTCTGGGGGAGAGAAACCTCCGGGGAGCGGGGAATGAGGGGCGAGGCTCGGCTGCGTGTCCCGCCCGTCCCCTCGGTGCCGAGCCGGGCTGAGCTGAGCCCGCTCCGAGGGTGGAGCCAGGAGGGGCCGGGCTCGGCTCCGGGAGCGGAGGGAGCGGCTCAGGCTGGGCCAGGGCAGACTCAGCTGGGACAGCAGCAGCAATTTGCCCATGGAAAGGGAGCTCAGGCCTTGGCAGGGGCTGCCCAGGGAGCTTTGCAGTGCCCATCCCTGCAGGTGTGCCCTGGAGGTGGCACTGAGTGCTCTGGGCTGGCACAAGGTGCCCATGGGGCGCAGCTGGCACTCCGTGGTGCCCGAACCTCGGTGATTCCACGGGACTTTCAACACCAGCAGCTGTTTTACCTTCATTCCTTTGATTCTTCATCCTTCGGGGTGAAGCTCTGCGTGAAACAGAAATGAAATCAAAAATCCCTGCACCCCCCTAGGCTGAGCTTTGTGCTTAAAGTTGTGTTTGGTGCACCCCATGTTGTGGTTTTATTCTTTTCTCCTTGTTTTTGCTATCAAACCCTTTCATCCTTAAGGTGGTGCTTAGTTTTTAAAAAGATTTGAGTTAAACATAATGGACTTAAAGATGGGGCAGTGGTGACAAATTAAAGATTGGGCAGTGATTACAGATGAATTTGAGTCTCATCATCTCAGCACAAACTGTGTTGTCTTCACCATGCACAGATCCTGCATAAATTACATTTCCAAGGTAAAGAATGGGAGAACTGCCTTGAACTTGTATACATGTCTGTCTGCAGGTGGGAAGAAAGGTCTCAAAGTTTCATAAATAATGCAAAACTTCAATAAAAAAAGGCAGGTGGAGGTCCTTGGAAGGTAGGTGCACACAGACTTTTGATAGATGAAAAATCAGTTTAGGTGTGTGGTCACTGGATTTCAGCCCTGAAAAACATAATTTAGCTTCATTTTATCAAAGGACAGAGCTGGCAAGAGCTGATAACCCTTGAAAGCTGGAAATAAGTGACATTTTTAGGAAGCCACATGGACTGGCCACGTTTTTAATTTGTTTTGTTGGCTAGATGTCAGGAAGGTGCAGAGAGGGAAAGCGGAACGAGGCCCTGAGGCTGAATCCCAGATTTTGGAGGTGTTAAAGGCGCCCTCAGCATTGGGATGATGTAAGAAAAACAAAGTTCTGTTAAAAATGAGGAAAATACTGCATTGTGCCATGGTTTGTCCAGTTTTGCAGAGCTTTTGGTGCTTCTGGTGTCCAAGGAATGCAGGAGTTTTGTCCCTCGGGTGTGTGAGGTGATGTGGTCACGCTGGAATGGCGCTGAACCCCCTGGGAGGGATTCCAAGGCCATTTTAAAAGCTGCACTTGGTTAGGGGGTGAAATTTTAGAAAATTCCTTTGGTTTGGTGCAAAATGTGCCCAGAAAATCCCAACTTGTGCAGCAGAGCTGTGGAATTTGGTGCTGATCAAGGGATCCCCACACTCAGTGTTTGTAAAAACTCTGAATTTTGCTGTGTTTGGTTGGTTCCACTCTGTGAACACCCTGCTTTTCCCAGCAGATGGAACACTCCTAAAACACCTTTTCTCTCCATTTAAATGGGATTTTTTTCTCTGCAGTTAAATGGGAATTTTTCTCTGCAGTTAAATGGGATTTTTTCTCTGCAGTTAAATGGGAATTTTTTCTCTCCATTTAAATGGGAATTTTTTCTCTCCATTTAAATGGGATTTTTTCTCTGCAGTTAAATGGGAATTTTTCTCTCCATTGAAATGGGATTTCCCCCTTCAGAGGCCCCTCAATAATCCTGGCTTGCCCTATTTCAGGAGGGTTGATCCAATCCAAGGTGAGCCAAGACAGGCACTGGAACTGTTTCTAAACAAATCAAGATTTGTGCTGCAGGTGCTGCTTGGATTTTCCTCCTCTTCCTCCTTTTCAGTTCTTCAATATTTTGTCATTGAGCTGTTGATAATCCCAGCTGAGCAGTCAGAAGTTTGAAATGGTTTGTGAGCAGTCTCTTGAACCCTGACCTTGCTGTTAATTTTGTTCAATGACAATTTATTCTTAGAAGAAATTAAAATTCTTCATGCCCAGTTTGTTAATACCAGCCCCAAAACCTTGCAGAGTAAAAAAATTCAATTTACCCAAGCACTTCCTCAAGTTATCCAAACCACAGTCAGGAATTCCTTCAGATTCTGGATTTTTTCTTTTTATTGAAATACAGGAAATTCCCACAGATAAAACCCTTTCTTCTCATCTTCAACTTGGCAAATTACTTTGAAAAGTTGGGATTTTCTGAAGTTGATTTTCACTTTGGATCTGTAACTTCAGTGTTGAGTGTGTGCTTGAGGAATTGGAATTTTCCTTCACCCAGCACCCAGATGGGTTTTATTTTAAAAACTCTGTTCCTGGGTACTCATTTATTTAAGGAAATGTCGCAGTAAATCATTTCCAATTAGGTTTTTGTGGTTTTCCATCCTTTTCATGTGATATTCCATTTTTAGGAGCTGGTTTTGGTGGGATTTGTGCTCTCAGATCCAAGCAGGTGAAACATTTCCCTGGCTCATCCCCAGGCATGTGTCAAATTTTAATATAGTTTCAATAAGTTTTAATAGATAATAATTATATATATATCAAACAAGAGAAAAGTTTTAAAACAGAAGCTAATCCTTTTTCATAAGTCATATTGTGTAATTAAATTAAAACTCCACATTACAAACCACAAGTAGTGAGTAATTAAGTTGAAAGTAAAAATAATTGAAATATCATTTCTTAATTAAACAATTTATCCTGAAAACCCTTATAAAAATGCAGCTCCATTTTTAATTTATGGAAATAAGATATTATAACACTCACAGTTTGGGAAATTGTAATATAAATAAAAACTAATAAATAAAAAATCCCATCTCGCACATTGAATCCCAACCTTAACAAAAAACCCAAATCGAGTTTGCATTTCCCCTCAAAGTGTCATTTCTTAATTCAACAATTTATCCTTAAATCTTTATAAAAATACAACTCCATTATAATTAATGAAAATAAAATACTGTAAAACTCATGGTTTGAAATATAAGTAATAGCTATAATATAATAACTGTGATGTAAATCAAAACTAATAAATAAAAAATCCCATCTCACACATTGAATCCCAACCTTAACCCAAACCCCAAATCCAGTTTCCATTTCCCCTTAGTATCATTTCTTAATTAAACAATTTATCCTTAAAACCCTTATAATAATACGGCTCCATTTTATAATTAATGAAAATAAAATACTGTAAAACTCACAGTTTTAAATAGAAATAATTATAATATAACTGTGATCTAAATAAAAACCAATAAATAAAAAATCCCATCTCACACATTGAATGCCAACCTTAACCAAACCCCAAATCCAGTTTGCATTTCCCCTTAAAGTGTCATTTCTTAATGAAACAATTTATCCTTAAAACCCTTATAAAAAAAACCAATTTGCATTGGTAATTAATGAAAATAAAATACTATAAAACTCACAGTTTTAAACATAAATAATTGTAATAACTGTGATCTAAATAAAAACCAATAAACAAAAAATCCCATCCCACACATTGAATCCCAACCTTAACCAAACCCCAAATCCAGTTTGCATTTCCCCTGCAAGCATCATTTCTTAATTCAACAATTTCTCGTTAAAACCCTTTTAAAAATACAAGTCCATTTTTAATTTATGGAAATAAAATACTGTAACATTCACAGTTTGGGAAACTGTAATAGAAATAAAAACTAATAAACAAAAAATCCCATCTCGCACATTGAATCCCAACCTTAACCAAACCCCAAATCCAGTTTCCATTTCCCCTCAAAGTGTCATTTCTTAATTCAACAATTTATCCTTAAATCTTTATAAAAATACCAACTCCATTATAATTAATGAAAAAAAATACTGTAGAACTCACAGTTTTAAATATAAGTAATGTAATAACTGTGATATAAATAAAAAATCCCTCTCACACATTTAATGCCAACCTTAACCAAAAACCCCAAATCCAGTTTGCATTTCCCCTTAAAGTGTCATTTCTTAATTCAACAATTTATCCTTTAAACCCTTATAAAAATTGAAGTCCATTTTTAATTTATGGAAATAAAATACTGTAAAACTCACAGTTTCAAATAGAAATACTTATAATAACTGTGATCTAAATAAAAACCAATAAATAAAAAATCCCATCTCACACATTGAATGCCAACCTTAACCAACCCCCAAATCCAGTTTGCATTTCCCCTCGAAGTGTCATTTCTTAATTCAACAATTTATCCTTAAAACCCTTCTAAAAATACAGCTCCATTTTTAATTAATGAAAATAAAATTCTATAAAACTCACAGTTTTAAATAGAAATAATTATATTATAATAACTGTGATATAAATAAAAACCAATAAATAAAAAATCCCATCTCACCCATTGAATCCCAACCTTAACCCAAACCCCAAATCCATTTTCCATTTCCCCTAAAGTGTCATTTCTTAATTCAACAATTTCTCCTTAAAACCCTTATAAAAAAAACCAATTTGCATTTCTAATTAATGAAAATAAAATACTACACAACTCACAGTTTTAAGTATAAATAATTACTGTAATAACTGTGATCTAAATAAAAACCAATAAATAAAAAAATCCCATCCCACACATTGAATCCCAACCTTAACCAAAAACCCCAAATCCAGTTTCCATTTCCCCTCAAAGTGTCATTTCTTAATTCAACAATTTATCCTTAAATCTTTATAAAAATAACAACTTCATTATAATTAATGAAAAAAAATACTGTAGAACTCACAGTTTTAAATATAAGTAATGTAATAACTGTGATATAAATAAAAAATCCCTCTCACACATTTAATGCCAACCTTAACCAAAAACCCCAAATCCAGTTTGCATTTCCCCTTAAAGTGTCATTTCTTAATTCAACA